GGCATCGCGCCGGGGCTCCGGGTCGGAGCTGAGCACCGCAGGTCCCCTCCGGCGCCAGGTCCGCTCCCGTCGCAGCCGGGCGAGGTGCCCGCTGTCGCACACGTTCTGCACACAGAGCGATAGTGCTGTGTGACTTTTAAAATCCATGTTAGGAGGAAACTGGTTTCCTGCCCGGATTTTGTTCTTATCAGCGTTCTCTTTTTATACTCTCTAGTAACTGCAATAAACACCTAATCTCTTCCTCTGCTTCTGGGTTTCTTGCCAGTGGGAGAAGCTGCAGATGACAGCCAGCGAGAGGAGGAAGATCATGTGCTCTGTAACATTCCATATCATTGCCATCACCTGTGTTGTATGGTCTCTCTATGTCCTGATAGACAGGACCGCTGAAGAGATTAAACAGGGACAGACTACTGGTACGTTACTTGCTTATCTTCCCACTTACTCTCTTCGAATAATTATTTATCCTGAATGCAGAGAGGATGCGGAGAATGAGTGTGTAGGTAATGTATACACTTAGCCTGAGGTTGGGTTGGTTTAAAAGCATAGTTCTAAAATTATTTAGTTAAATCCGTGTAAATTCATCTGCGGGTGCTTTTTAAGTCTATTTCAAGTCATTTTAATTTGTATTTGTGAAATGCACAAATATGAGAGTTAATCCACTGTAGCCAGACACAGAATTGCACTGCCTTAGCTAATTTAGTTTTGATTTGGAACGCATACTGTGCAGATAAGGACGTAAGTATTTGTTTGCTGCTATGAGTACCTTTTAACTGGGCAAAACCAGAAGACTATTTAAAAAGAGAAGTAGTAAGAGGAACCTAAATCCAAATCTTTGAGGTAAATCAACAGGGTTTTCTTTCTATTCTGTCATCTGAGAGATGGGTTAGAACTAGTTTCCTGTGAGAGCCATGTTAGACTGGAGAAATTTTTATGAGTGGTTGTGCCTGAAGGCAGAAGAGATTCAGGTTGATTCTTAGGACTCCAGTCACGCAACTGAGATGAGGTGCACTGCAGTTCATGTAGTGGCTGCCACCCCGCTGCAGGGATGTCTTAACTGCTTGAATAGTAGGTTTTCTTTAGTACGCCAGCTGTAAACTTATCGAACTGAAATCTGTTTAGCTGCAAATTTGCAGCTGTCACAGAACTGTTTCTCAAGCAGCTGAGCTGTCCCTGAAGGCGGGGTAGAAGGGATGGGGTTATCTACCAAGGCTGGGAGCCATTAAAATGCAAGCTGTCCTTGCTCACAGAGTGTTGCATGCCAACTAGACATGCAGTTGGAAAATGTTTTGCTGGTGATTGAAGATTGTCACCTGGGGAGGTAACTGAGCATCAGTAAGCCTGCAAATCCACAGGGCTGTTACAGTCTCTTTAGAGCAGAATCACACTTCGAACGGAACAGTTTTGCTGCTGTTTCTCATTTGGGCTGTAGTTTGATTGCTCATGACTTCAGCCAGGAAGTTGCTTTGCATGAAATCTTTTTGTTTCTGTTCCGTCCAACCCCATCTCTTCCATGTATGCTGAAAATTGTTGGCCTTTCAGTGTAAGGTTTCCATATAATAATGAAAAGCATATGCTTTCAAAGATTTATAGTCTCCAGGTTATTTTAGTCAATAAATATATTAGATGAATGTGAATAGAAGGGTTAGTGTGAATATTTAGTACTTGTTACAGTGCTGCCTTTGCTCCCTTCATTTGGATTCTAAATCTGGGGAGTGCTGTAATGAGCCGGGGGGTGTGGGGAGCGCGTGTGGGTATACATGCATGTCTCCACAGGGGCAAGCATATGCCATCACTGCTACGGATGGCATCAGATAGCTCACCTGTGAATCAGAGGTTGGGGTATTAATCGTGGGTGGGATTTCATCTGTAGTCACATTGCAGTGCCCTTTGTATTTTAGGACTAAAATATTCTCATTCCTCCCATGCTACCATGTATTTCCAAAAAAACATTGGCCCGTATCTTGGTGAAAACTTTGAATACTTGGGAGGCCATGATTTTATTCTCTGAGAAACCTGATACTGGGTGATTCAGCATGGTTTCATATCCATCTTGTGATGCCACTTATCTTTAAAGGGAGAGAAACTGAGTGGGTACAGGACCTATGCAAGCAGAAGATGTATAAAATGAATACTGTCATTTAAAAGTAGTTGATAGAGATGTAACAAGATACAATGTCTAGAAGTTCAAGCTAGACAAATTCAGGAAAAGTAATGATGGTCATTTTTAATACAGAGGGTACGCTTGCCAGAATGCTTCAGCATCTCCAACACTTGCAATTTTGCATCAGAAGAGATACTGTAGTTCAACTGTAAGTTAGTGAGTCTGATACAGATAAAATTGCCTGGTCTGCATAAAAGACATGTCAAGCTAGTTGGTAACAATTGTTCCCTTTTGAGTTTAAAGACTGACTCCATGTAGGGTGTGATCACAGAGTGGAACAGACGTCTTGGGTCACTGAGTTGAATCTCCTGCTATGAAGAGGAAACCATGACATAGAATTCCTTTCATAATCTGATCCAATTTTCATTTAAAAACAGGTGTAAAAGGACCTAAACTTATTACTGGCTGTTGCCTTGACTCTGTTTGTGCTGCCCAAGGGCTCAGACATAGAGGATCAGTTGTTTTGTTTTTCCTCTGGTGGGTGAGAATAAATATGGTATGTGAAGTAGAAGTCTGCATGTGTTTGACTTGCAGGCGGGGCAGAAAAGGCCAAACAAGAAAAATGGCAAAATAAGAACAGTTTGCATGGCCCAGACTCTGTGACAGTTTCCTTAAAGGATGTTTTTGAGAGATCCAGTGTAGTTCAGCCAATACTGACCTGGTCCTTTTTTTTTTTTTTTTTTTTTTTTCTTCTTTTTTAATTTTCATTCTTACAGGGATTCTAGAGTGGCCATTTTGGACTAAGCTGGTGGTTGTGGCTATTGGTTTCACTGGAGGACTTCTGTTCATGTATGTACAATGCAAAGTGTACGTACAGCTGTGGAAGAGACTTAAAGCTTATAACCGAGTAATATATGTACAAAACTGTCCAGAAACTAGCAAAAAGAATATTTTTGAAAAACCTGCACTAATGGAGCCAAACTTCGAAAGTAAAGAAATGCTTGGGGTTCACCATTCAGACACAAACTCTTCACATTACACAGAGCCAGAAGACTGTGCTGCAGAAATCCTTCACGTCTGATTGCTGGGTGGGAGGGGTGTTTCTGTATGTCCTTGAAGATTTAAAACATCATTGTTTACTGCAAACTGCTCTACCTTTTTAAAATGGGCTAACAGCTGAGGGCTGGCGGATGAATTTTTTTACATTTGTTTGTGTTGGAATTTTTTAAAATCCTTTTAGCATATCTGTCAATGTCATCATGGTTACATACCTCTCAACGCTTTGTCTCTCATACTGGCTGATCAAAGAGCCACAGGGTACTGGGTAGAATGAGCCTTGGGTTTGGTATCAAGCAAGCCACTAGTGAACTGTCATCAACTTCATGGAGTCTGTTACTTTAGAAGATGACTCTAAATGATTCTGGAATGTGTGTAGAGTGGGGTTGGTTTGTTTGTCTGTTCTTTGAGCATGATGAAGGAGGTTGTCCCAGCCACTGAGGAAAAAGAGAGAGCGCAAAAGTCTAATCTACCGCTAACACTGCCACTAACATTTTGTCTTAGGCAGCAGGTGTAAAATTTTGCTTTACATATTGTGATGAGACTTACAAAGCATATAGCACTTTTTAAAATCTTTATTTTGTAATATGTATGTCAAATGAGAATGAAACTTGAAAGAATGTGTCATTTTCAAAACATTTCTTCATTCTTTACCCCATCTATTCTTCTGGAACATAAACCTCTTGCCTTATAAAAAAAAAAAAAAAAATTCCAACCTGTGATTTCCAACACATGCCCACATTATCTTACTAAACATAACACTAAAAAACTCTGCCTCTTCGCGTTTCCTTTGAGGAGCAATTTTTTTCAAAGGATATTGCACTTGTGACTTGTGTGTGGGGAGTACTGGATGTGTACAGTGTTCATTTTCAATGCATAATGGTTTCAGTGCTCTGTTTTGAGGATTGGTTTTGCTTTTTATTTTTAACAGGTCAGACCATCAACACACCTGCACATATATACCTGATGTAACTCATTCCAAACCCTTTGCAAAGGGTTTGTTGCTGTATTGGTAAAAATGTGAGCTCTTACGGAAAAAAAGATACTTAGTCAATACAGCTGAAATTGGTTTTCCTTCTTCAGTGCTGTGTCATGTGTGAATTACCCAAGGATTTGATCCTGTCAGAAGCGATGCTGAGGTCAAAGTCTAGGAAGTAGATATTGCATTAAGTGGACGAGTTTAAAAATACCTGCCTGGTTTTAGTCCTGATGTGACGCATTATGTGATCAGAATAGTTTTGTCTGTGCTTTTGCATTTGGGACTGGCTTTTTAATTAGTCAGCCTCAATGAAAAGAGAAGGACAGCTTTAAAATGTGTTTGTAGTGCTTTAGGCAGAGTTGCCCAAAGCCTGGGGTGTCTGCTGTTAATTCGCTTGACCAATCTGCGTCACTGAAGCCCTGCCCAGCTTCAAGCCTTCATTTAACCAAAGTCTCAGTGCGACTGGAGCAGAAACGAAGCCCCACGAAAAGTCAACACATAGGAGACCCCGGCATGTGGAAGCTGACTTTCTCTACCTGAACCCTATTTAAATCTCTGTAAAGTCAATGATCATCTTCTGGTTGCTCTTAGTAGGAGTTGTCTGGACTTCTCAGTTAGTTAAAAGCTGTTTATGTGTTGAGATACTGAACTAAATCCCCAGCTCTGTTCAGGTTTTACTTAGTCTTTTTCAAGTGCAAATTTCATTGAGCAAGTTCTTTTCGTAATAAAAGTAGTTGCTTTAAGACTTCCCAAAGAATGACAGTAAGAGATCAGTGATTTTTTTCTTAAAATACAGTATTAATTTATTTCTAAGTTAATCTTTTGAAAAAAGGCAGAGAAGGGACTATGGTAAGAGAACACGCACCAGTGGTTTCTAAGAGCTGTTGGAGGAAAAGTGTGCGTGTGCCTTTACATGATCTCATGCTTGAAGCCAGTAAGGCTGTGATCTTCATGAACAAGCTGGTACCCTGTTCTTGAGAGGTTTTAAAACACCCGGACCTCTAGGCAGTCCTAGCAAAGCTGCACCGGCATGGGTTTGTGTACTGTGTTGAGGTGTCGGGATGTCCCATGCTTACGTGATACTGGCAGACAAACCCTGCATACTCTGCTAGTATCGGGGCAGCAGTCTTCATGACCACACACATGTAGAGCTTGCCTGCGATAATTTAAAGTGCAATTACTCAGGTTCTTTCCTGAACTCTGCTGTGGGTGATCCTCTTCTATTATGAGAACCCGGATAATACACTGTCTTGTTTTGTTTTCATTTTGTTCTGTGAAAAGATTTACTAGATAAACTCAGGTGGATTAAATACCAGGTCTTGCACACCTTCGTTATGTTCTTCTGAAATGCCCAGGTGCACAAGGCTTACATGGCTACGAGGTGCTCACATTACAGCTGCAAGATGCACAGAATCAGCTGCTGACCGATGCTGTGCATGTTCTCATCTGATCTGTGGCCAGTAGGTGAAATGAAAACAGACAAGTTCTGGTATGAAACCTGCTTGTTCTCCAGCTCACACCTGAGAGGCACTGGTGTCTGACTGATGTTCTGACAAGTGCCAGTATGGCATACTGTAATGTGCTGGTTCAGTTTCAGTCACTGTCATATGTTAACCGTGGTGAAACATTGTGAAATCTCATTTGGTGTTTTGGAAGCTCCATGTGGCACATGCTAGGTAGTGTTCAGTGTATTCAGGATGCTGAAGGTTTTTGCTATGCCTGTGTGTATTTTGGGAAGAAAAATAATCTCCAGCAAAATCATCTGAGGAAAAATATTTGCAGATGAAACTGTTTCAGCCAGCGTTGCTGCTAACCATTCCCTCTCCCAGGAGGTCTTTTCTGAATTAAAGTTAAGGCCTAATATTTAAACTCTTCATACTGTTTAGGAATGCTCATACCAGGAAGAGCTGCAGAAGAGATCCGTCTGTCAGGGGTTTTCATTTATGCTGGTCACACTTCCCATGCTGGTTCTTGCTTGGTGTTAACGGTGGGCTTCTGGAGCTGCAGTTCTGTGCTTCTGCATGGTGCCATCAAATGGTGTGAGAAAGCTGAATGGTGCTTTTTCCTTCTTTCTCCTCAAGAAGATTCTGTTGACTTGTTTTCAGCTTCCAGCTGCGAGGCACTGATACTAGCTTAGGTGAGCTAGCAGCAGTAAGGGGAACGACCACCCCCCGTCAGATCAGGCTTTCCAACACTTCCTTCTAGCAGCTTTTGAAATGACTGAAAATAGAAGTCAGAATATTTTTAGTCCTTGTTCCTTGGCCAAAGTTAGTTTGGGTTACCTGCGACTTTGCTGAGACCAGAATTTAAGTAGGAGGAAATATAGGCTTAATACCATCTACCATGATCCCTTTCCTAGATTGCCAGAGCCTTTGCTGATATGCCCCATGCTCTAGACATCTGACCAGGCTCCCATTCTACTGATTTAAAACCTGTCCAAAAAAATGCTGTCTGTGCCAAGGGAATTTCCCTGCCGTGGTATATTTGGTATATCTGCCAGGTTGTGAACATGCATTATGTTAGAAATACAGGCATGTGCTGCAGAAGGTTAATCCCTTTTAAGAGATCAGGAGATGTTAAATTCCTATAAATTCTGTCTTCAGCTGTAACCCTGTATTTTGGGAGCAGGGGTGGTGTTTAAAATGCTGCCTTGTGTTCTGAAGAGATGGCCAGACCTAGGGACAGCTTCCTCTGGTTGAACATCATTTTTTGCAGGAGGGATTCAACACAGGTTACACTCAGCCTGCGAGGGGTTAGAGAAGTGCTGGGCCTCTGTGCTGTGTCTGGGAAATCCTGGGAAGCAATAGGAACTCCCTGCCCGAGCCTCCTCCTGCCAGTCCCCTGTACTGGTCAGGACATCAGTCCCACTGGTGGCGGTGCTGTAAGGAACGGGGGGTGCTTGGTGTCCGCTCGTGGTGCATGGACACGGCCGTGCGCGGGAGCCGTTGCTTCTGCCATGTGTTTGGCTGGGTAAGTATGTATGACAAAGTGGGACCCAGGTCCAAATTTCTGCTAAAGCTGAGGTGTGTTAAGATAGAGATTTCTGGTGTAGCCTGCTGTGGAGATTGTGGCCAGCAGTGAAAGGGAGGTTGATGATTCTGGTTGGATTCATATCAAATATGGGTGAAACATGGCAAATAAAAAAGCAAGGACGTTGCTGGCTGGATTTTCACAACGTTACATTAGATACGCAAAGAAGACTTCTAAGTGGGACCTTTTATTTTGTGATTATTTTTTAGTTTTGAGATGTTGCAGTGTCTGTATATTCCAATGAAGTACTGAAAGCACTTGTCTTTGTATAGAAGATAACTGTTCAAAAAATTGCAGCTGGTCTTGTATTTAGGTAAACATTTGTAGATAGGTAATGTATAATGTTAAACAACTTTACACTGGCACGTGTTGTATAGTTTATACAAGACACTTCACACGTCTGCAGAATTTTTTAGTTAGTAAATTTCTAGTAACTTAAATGTATAGTTTTGTATCCTTTCATGTATGATCATTTTCTCAGTATTACCACTTGCAGAATTATTTTTAGTTTCTTAAACTGTAATCGGTTATTTGTGTGTGATACACAGGGTTATTGACTGCAGCAATAAAGTGTTTCTATAAAAAAAACCCAGAACAAACCAAAACTATTATAGTATCCATTTTGTTTGGAAAAGCATTAGAGGCCCATGCAAGAGAAAAATTGAGCTCTCCAATAGTAAGATGATCAAAGTGAATTACTTTCACTGGAGTAAACATGGAACTTGATGGGTCTTCGGTGTAGCAGGCCAACGTGGAGTAGCATCCCCTGACAACTGGATTTTAAAATGATTTATAGTGATAGAGGGATAGTTAAGCATCAGAATAAGTGGGTGACTCCTTCGATGCAGTGTGAAGATAGCACTGTGCAGATGCTTTGGGCTCACATGCAGGGATCATGGGGAGAATTTTCTGGCTTGTGCCATGCAGGAGGTGGGGAGAGAGGATTCCTGTGGGCCTTAAAATCTGGAGCTTCTGGAATTGACACTAAGTGTTCCTACGAATGCTTCATGTCTGAAGCCAAGCGTTCTCACACGCATAGGTTTCTATGCAGAGGTGCAGAGCAGAAGATGCTCATTACTATGATTCTTCTCTAAGAAGAAAAATAATTTTGTGTAAATGTGGAGTGGTGGATGGCTGCATTTATCTTTCACTGCTGATGGCATGAGCCTGACTGCAGTGCTGCGTGAGTTGTCATGCCAGGACCGAGCCTCAGAACAGGAAATCTTCAGCAGTTTCTCTTGAATGGGCTTCTAGCACCAGTAGGTCAAGGAAAGCAGCTGTCTGCGCTGCTGCGAGAAGGCTTGTAGCAAAAGCGTTAAGTGCCAAAGAGCAAGTAAGGTCTGGAAAGTTCTGTCTGTAACAGACACAAGGGCGCTCAAAGAGACTCTTCTAATTTATATTTCTTTTTAAGGAGTGATTAGTTTTTAATTTCTTTTAGGTAAGGAAGTGGAGGAAATCTTGTGAAACTGCAACCCTAGAGTGGTGTCTCCCATGCGAGACAAAAGGCTCTGTCCTAAATTCCTTAGTGAAGCAACTCAGGTTGTAGTAAGTGAAGCTACTTACACGGAGTTTGCAAACCCACCAGCAAGACTTCTGTACAAAAATACCCTGCTGGAGAGATGGTAAGGTAATTTCCAGGGCC